TAAATAGGTTGACTTGGGACATGTATGGTTTTTGTATTAGACCCGTCGTCCATTTATTTGTAAGTCAATGATCCCATACAATGAAATGAACACATTGTATTTAAAACTCAATTAAAAGATAGTTTTATTACTTTATATAAAGCAGTCTCTCTACCTCTTAAAGTAAGCCAACTAGCCCTACGAATGTCATATTCAACATATGGGAGCGTTTAACGTTAAATAGATATAATAGATATATTCAGGCGTTACTTTGCGGAAGTCCATGTTAATAAAAATGGAAGTAAATTAATTTCCTACTCCGCGAACCCAGTGAAGGTTGAATCAGGCAAAATAGCTGTGCTTGTGTTGAATATTTTTTCAAGCAGTTAATTATATATAAAGTTATAAAAATCAATAACACAAGCGCAACTACAGTCACTAACCACCACCAAAAATATACCCGACACGTGTTTCGCATCTCCACGAGGCATCCTCAGAGGCTGTTGACTGCTCGACTCTCAGCCGAAGAATGAGGTCTCTCAAATATAGTGTACGATCTATGGTGAGCCCGTTCAGAACGGTTGGTGTATACCCCGCTGCCCCTAGCAACACTGGGAGTAGCGGGGCACTTAATTTACTTCCATTTTTATTGAATAGATGTCTAATTTTATTTAAAAAAACTTATTGATGTCAATTTAGTCATTACGTACTTTTGATCAGCTTAGAGATTTTTGATATCTGTTATTTTTACCCTGTTTTCGTTAAAGCTTCAAACATAGAGCAGGACAATATTGTAACCGAAAATGTCACCATCATCATCAACCCATTTATACGTCTCACCGCTGGGTACGGGTCTCCTGTCAGACGAGGGTGTTAGTCTAAATGCTGGTTGGGGACTTAATATGTTTTCCGAGGGGTTGTGAACCTTCGACGTGCAAGTTTCATTGGGACGTTTGCTTCACCGAAAAACTCTTGGTAAGTTTCAAATTAAATTTTAAACGAAACTCAAGAGGTGCGAAACTGGATTCGAACCCACGGCGCCGCTGCTTGACAGGTAACCTAAGTTGCTAACCTTAAAAACGTGACCACCACGTTTTTTACCGTGATACAAACTTTTAACCGAAAATGTAAGCCTTTATTAGTAAGGTGGTGGTTTCCACACTTGTCCGGTTCAAGAAGAGTGAGGAAGGCGTTTAATATGTGAGGGAGTATTGTGATATATCCGGATATGAATATGTCAACAAAACAATCACTTTTAGAAAATGACGCCTCTAACTTGTGAGAGAAATAAAAAGGTAATTAGAAATCGTTTTATTTTAAGTGTTATATACACCATACAGGTTAAACGGTACAAAGCGACATAAGCATAGGTACACGTTTTAGGCCCATTTAGATGGAGAGAGTTTATCGCACGCTTTGTGACGAAAAATCGTACGCGAAAATCGTAAGCAATAATCGCCATAAGATTATCGTATGTATCATAATGTTTACATTCAGGCAAGAACTAAAATCTCGCCTACGATTATGTCATTCGAGATTCGCAAGCATCTTAATCGCCTCCTCGACTGTTTACAGAGAAATATGTAAGTAGTAAGGAGATTCTTGCTTACCAGTTTTCGACTTGTCTTGTTCGAACCATCGATTACTGCGGTACTGATTATGGATATGTCAAAATGACGCAAAAATCATTCAAATTTGGAACTGCTGATATTATTAAGTTCGTTGCACTGTATAGAATTTTTTTTTTATATTTTTTTTTTATAACATATCTTAACCCAAAATTTTATTTAGCTCTCGGTTCATTAATTCTTGTCTTAGAAAAGCAGTAATAATCAAAACAACCTCGCGCACTGCGCTCATAGTGGAAACTGCTGGCACAAAAACTCGAAATACGATTTTTAGTTTCAAATTCTGTTTACACGGAGACGTTCTATATTCAAAGGCGAGGCGATTATCACTCACGTGGAAGGGCGATAATCGCGAATGTTTAGACGAGGAAAGTTTTCCATATTTTTTCGATAATCGTATCTTCGAGACGAGAAACTCTCACCATCTAAATGTGCCTTTAAAGTAAACAAAAAATATGTCTTCACAGAGTTATAAATAACCAATACATAGGAATAGGATTCTTACTTACTAGCGTTTTAATTTATATATAATATTTGTCATAAAATTCCCAGTACCATACCAATACAGTGCAACACTTTCATGTTATTATCAACGACCAAAACCCCGAACCCTGAATGGCATGTCAAACTTGGGTTTGTTATATCGTCGGGGATAATGTAAATCCGTGTATGTAATATTGGTAAAAGCGCGTATCTGTACTAAACCAAATTTTCCAGGAGAAATATTTAAAGTTATTCCTTTGTTATTTCAATGGCCACGATTTTCATTTTTGCATAGAAAGCATTAATTTATGATGTCTACGGACTCATAAGAGCAGGTTCCCGTAAATCAGGCTAATTTGGTTGTCACGACATTTATGCGGATTTTGGTTTGTCCCCGATGATATTACTGTTTGTTCATTTATAAGTATAAGCAACCAATTAAACGAGTGATGGTTGAGAAAGTCAGCAATGTAACATACCAATACTTCCTTATTTAATCTTTACCATAAGTAACTTAAGCGTGAAACATACAGAGAGCGGGTGCGGGTCGGTTACGGGTCGGGTGTGGGTCGGGTGAGGGTCGGGTGCGTGTCGTGTCAGAAGCCGGGCTGGTCTAATCCCGTGTATTTATATGGACGATAACACACCGAGAGCGGGCGAGAGACGGGCGCACATCAGGGATGTGCTGTGCCGCCAGAGCCATGGCCCCCTCTGCACCCCCACGCTACGCCACTGATTCAGACTAGTAAGTCCTTTGTTGTACTCACGCCCATAGAAATTGTGAAAAGCAGGGCTTTGGCCATACTACAAATTGAAAAACACTGGCTCGACCACGTTACTTTCAACTCACTGTAGCACACGAATATTTACTTCTACTTACATAAACTACATACTAAACGTATAAAAGCCGTTTTTTTTATAAGACAATAATTAATTATAGTCGTCACCAAATACGAGGTCAAATTTGACAGCTAAAAAAGGGGATAGTACGTAATTTTGAATGCGATCAACGAAATAATAAACAAACAATTATTAGCATAATTGAGTTTTGAAAAAATACACAAATTTTATTGAAATACACATTATATAATGTGACAAAACATATTTGAAGTACTGTTTTCGCACGAATTCCAAAGTAAAATGCAATTTTGAGTTACCCCGAAACGCCCTGAAAACAGTTACGTTCTCAAACTTTTTTTTTAAATAATAGTGTTGTAAGCAATTAATCGCCAGATTTCACTTCGATTTCTCGGAAAAGCTGTTTTATCTGATCGTTTGTTGTTGACATTGACAACTTCTAGCTTATTGCCAGCCGAATAATTGAAAATGTATGAAATCCTTGGTTTCTTGGTAATTTAATCTTTTCATGTAGTAGTTTTATCGATGAACATACTTACACTAAATTATCTTAATAAACCATTTATGAATAATCAAAATTAAAAGAATTGGATACAGTTCATCGGAATGTGGGAGGATAAAAGTAATTGCTACAGAATTGCAAGGAATTCTGTAAATGAATTGCTTTTAACGGAATTGCACCATTTTGGCCTTTTAGGCCCCCTGAATAACAATGAACCGAAAAATAATATAAACAATCACAAACTCTTAAAATGTTGTATCGATTTCTCGTGAAAATCGTATAATGTGATTACCGAAATGACTAGTCCACATCCCTATTCGCGTCACGATGACAAGTGTCAAATTTGGCTTCTTATTTGGTGACGACTATAGTCATTCATTCAGCCTTATGGTATTTTCAATACAGGCTATAATAATATTATATTCATATATTTACCCTTTAAATTGGTAATAAAAAAGTAAAAAACTTACTACGATTTATCTAAATATTTGGGATAAATAGAACTCTCAAATACTGTAACTTTAAGATGTCATGTATTTACTATTATTATTTCCTTAATGGCGGCCACTTGGGCCTGTGTCAGTGAATCACGATGACTAAATTTACAAGCTGTCAATCAAAATTTGACAGGTCGTAAACAAAAGTTCTCGTAATTTTTTAAAAGACAGACAGATACATTGCAATCAATTTTAGTTTGCGTTTACCTGAATCTTAAAGCATGGAAAAAAATAAAGAATCGATGTCATTTTGACATGTGATGTCAATCACTACACGCAGGGCTATATCACCGATTGCGGTCGCACCTTTAGTAAACGCACACACTTTTATGAATATGAAAATATCCAAACAAACATTTTGATTATAATTTAGACAATAATAATAAAAGTTTAAATGCTGCAAATTTTGTCCTAAAGGTAAATTTTAAAACCGTTGATTTTTGTGACGGTACATTACAATAATACCTATATTAGATTAATACCCTAATATAGGCTATATTGGCTGAGGATGCCTCGTGGAGAGGCGAAATAAGTGTCGGGTATATTTTTGGTGATGGTTAGTGACTGTAGTTGCGCTTGTGTTATTTATTTTTATAACTTTATATACATATAATTCACTGCATGAAAAATATTCAACATAAGCGCAGCTATTTTGCATGATTTAACCTTCACTGGGTTCGCGGAATAGCAAATTAATTTACTTTCATTTTTATGTACCTTAACATGTTAAAAATTTGCATAGGCCGAATAAAATCGATAATTCACCAATTAATAAAAAGTAAATTATTTATGCATTCTATAGAAAATTTATACTTAACACAGAATGCATGTTCGTTCTATGAACTTGAAGCTAAGGTTACTTTACTTTGATTAAATTATTTCTATTAAAATTTACTTCAGTACATTGGATGTTAGGCTGCTAACAGATTGACTGCATGTTCAATCAACTTCACGCAGCCGCCAAACTGCAATCAACTTCACGCAGCCGAGACCACGACTGCATGCAGTTGATAATGACTTCTCGCATTAGCTGCATGCAGTCGAAACTTCATCTAGCCGAGATCGACTGCGTGAAGTTGCGTGTCTCGGCTGCGTGAAGTTGATTACGACTTCACGCATTAAATGCAAACATGAAGTCATTCTTTTAGCAGCCTTTACAGTGCCTTTATGGTTAATGTATAAAAAACGATAATACTTATTTTATACGTATTATAGTTTTTTAAACGTCATGACATTTTCAGTACAACTGGATGTAGTCGTAGTTCAATAATTTTTTATCACTTTTGCTGTCACCTGGTGGGGAATATTGAACTGGTCGCCAACCTTTACAACTGTAATTACAAATTCAGTTCCCAATAATAATCTTGAAATCGCAGCGGGCAAAGGCTGGTCCACCATGGCGCAATAAATGGCGGTCACCGGATAGTAATAAAACCTACTAGACATAGGTCTCAACAAAATCAAGTGCACGTCAACTGTGTCACCCCAGTCAACGAGTTGGACTCGCGCCTTTTCTTCCCCTAATATTTCTCTAATGATTCCCCTCTCGTATTTGCAGGTTGAGTGCATAAAAACAGCGACATGTTTGCCGACATTCATTTCGCCAATGGGTAATGGTTGTAATCGATCAGAAAAGTATGAGAAATTTACTCTTTGATTTAAATACACATTGTAATCCTTTTTATCGGCTACAAAGAAACCAGACAGGCTATTCCCCGATTGAACTCTCACATGTAGATTATCTCCAACCTTCAAGTCTTTATGAATGAAAAAATTCTTCTCTCCTTGGGGTGCATTGAATCTAGTTACAGCATTATCAGCATAACCATAGTGTGAGCATCCCGCGTACGCCATCATCTTTGACAATTCATCAGGGCATGAGTTCTGCAGCTCCACCACACATATGTCAGATCTCTTCTCTCTAACAGTCAACAAGGCTCTTTCTTTGCCAAGATAATATTTTAGGGACGGTGTGGCATCTTTACACCATTTACCTCGAAACGGAAAACAGTTTGCCAATTGACAGTGAACAGCTAATGGTGGGATCTCGTGATCCCTGCTGTTACCGATTGTACATATTTCATTGATAGGAATGTCTTTCTCAAAAAACCCATAGTCAATTGCGAAAATATCGCACTTCATGTCTTGTTCAGTGCCATCAATAAAGAAAACCTTCCCCCTTACATATTTATTTTCTATTCGAGACTTGTACAAAATTTTTACTTGAGGATATATGCCTATAGGGTCAATTGGAGTTCCGCGTTGTTCCACAACGGCCATGTGCGGGTCCAAAATCCGTATACGGACAAAAAAGCTCTGAGGGTTATTTACATGAGTCACCCCCACCCACGTCTTGGAGCCAACTTCGAAGTGATGCTTGTCGATGATCTGCCTCATCTGATCTACAGGCGATGGAGATGCATCATCGGGAGCCATATTCCATGGCATCCTGAAAATGAAGAGGAATATAAGATTAATAACATATCACTTGGTATGGTATGGCACACAGTAAGGCAACAGTCTTCGAGCAGGGGGACCGGATCACAGTGGGCCCAAATTGATAATTTGGACATAGGAATAAGTTGTGGAGTAACGAGCAAATTTTTTTTATGTGTTAGATATAACATTCCTAACAACTTTTATTCTTGTATAATTTCTTGAAAAGTTGATAGTTTCGGAGAAAAATAATAATTTTTTTTATAGAGAAATATACATTTTATTTTTTATCTCAAAATGTACTAAAATGTAACTTATGAGGGTTACTTACAGTATAGTTCCAACCATTTTCTATGTAGAAAAAAATAATCCGTCTGCTTGTACTTGCGGCTTTGTAATTACATAAGAATAAAAGTTATCAGGAATGTTATTATTTATCATATGAAAAAAATCAGCTCTGTATTCCTAAAACTTGATTAAAAAATGGCGGAAATAAAAAGTAGAAATTTTAGGCTAAATTATTATTTAATCATGGGAACAATTTTAGGAATACAGAATTGAATTTTTTTCATATGATACATAGTAACAGTCCTCATAATTTTTATTCTTATGAAATTTCTTGAAAAGCTGATTGTTTCAGAGGAAATAAATTTTTAGAGTTTTTTCTGTTTGGAGAAATAAAACATTTTATTTTTTATCTCGAAATGTAGAAAAATGTAATGTGTGTGGTTTGTTCACAATATAGGTCCAATCATTCTCTTTATAGAAAAAAATAATAAATACTTGCGGTTTTACGAGTAAAAGGTGGCAAATTTTTAGATTTATTATTTATTTTTTAACGCAATATATTAGTTTCTACTTTTTCGTGTTATTGTTATAACACTCTCTAAATTACACTAAAATTAATTTTTCTTTGACCGAAGCTCATGTATTTTGTTAAAAAAGTATATAAAAAAGTTGATAATTTAGCCGTACCTTTACTTACAAAGCCGCAAGTAGATGCAGAAAGATTATTTTTTTCTACATAGAAAATTATTGGAACTATACTGCAAGAAACCCAAGCACATTACATTTTCTTATATTTTGAGATAAAGATAAAATGTATATTTCTCCATACAAAAAAAAATATTTTTTTTTTCTCTGAAACTATCAACTTTTCAAGAAATTATACAAGTCTAAAAGTTGTCAGGAATGTTATTATCTATCACATTAAAAAAAATAGCTCGATATTCCACAAGTTATTCCTATGTCCAAGAATTATCAATTTGGGCCCACTGTGCGGATGCCCAAGCCCAAGGGCGTGAGGAAGACGTAAGTGGCTACGGTAGACGGCCACCATAATTTGGGTGGTTAGTTCTCTAACAAAAAATAAATAAAAATAAGTTTGTGCCGTCATGCTCTACCTACGTGACAATTTCGAGCTACCAAACAGCTCTCATTACTACTCATTGACGAATTAATGTAAATGGCGGGCGAAATATAGATGGCGGGACTTGATATAGGCACATTGTAAAAAAATTAAATTGTTCATTATTAAACTGAGCAACACTTACAACTTAGAATTATAAGCGTGCTTATGTGTTTTTATTAAAACTCCAAATACTAGTGCTGGTTCCTACACTTATGTACGTTAGGTTCGGCAGACGAAGCATGAAAATAGAATTAATGCAGTAGAAATGAGAGCTTTGAGGAGTATGGCTGGAGTGACTCGGATGGATAAATTACGGAACAGTGTGATAAGAGAGCATTGCGGCGTGGAAGAAGATATAGTGATAGAGAAAGGGATGCTTAGATGGTTCGGACATGTAGAGAGAATGAATGAAAGAAGAGTGACGAAACAGATTTATAAGGCGAGTGTGAGCGGGCAAGTTGGCATGGGCCGACCAAGGAGCACTTATCATGACCAAATTGAGACCATCCTAAAGAAGGGCCAGGTCAAGAGTACCCTTAACCGACGGGCGTGTATGAAAGCATTGATGCGTGTTGATGAGGCGAAAGATGTGTGTCAGGACCGTACCAAGTGGAAGACTGTTGTCTCTGCCTACCCCGATGGGGAAAAGGCGTGAAGTATATGCATGTATGTATGTAAATATAATTGGTTGACCGGCAGTTGTAAATTAAACAAATTATTTTGTTTTCAATGTCTCTTATTAGCTGATGCGGGAAGTGTTTGGAATCGAATGGGCTTTTCCGATATTAATAATCTCACAAATTCAATTTCAACTATTAACTCTGTGTCACATTTTTTTACCTTTCTCGTGTTGGTTGCATCCGCAGAAGATAGTTATCACGCACGCGAAAAAAAGATCATAAAATTTGGCTATAATTCCAATAGAAAAAAATTTGCTTCCCAAAATTCAACAATGTTTAAGTAACATAAGTGATGACACACATGGTAAAGGTGGTATACACTAACAACGAGGAATTGCATTAACGCCATTCAGCGCCCACGCTCTATTACTATGCATACCTTTTACGAAAAAAATCAGTTTTTGTTAAGGTAGGTGATCTTTTTAACCAGCCTTACTAACGACAGTTATTTACGCCTCGCCACCGATCTCTAGTTAGCAATGTTCTGTCTGTAGTTAGTTTTAACTTACAATTTAAATGCTCGAATTCTTAATCTATGATCTGATTATAGTTCCTGAAACACCAATGTGTTACAATCTGGCTTGAATTAAGCACCCTGATACCTGCCTACAGTGCCAAACACTGTAGAGAAGCTCTGTCATTGGACTGGAATGGCATCAGATGCTCACTAGAGCCTTAACAGGACCCTGAGGCTTGAACTAGCACATGTCAAATATTTGGCAGAGATAGAATAGAGAGTGTAGATTCTGCCACGAGGCAGACGAAACTCCTGCTCATCATCTCACTCAATGTTACTCCCTGATGGGCGTACGAAGCTCCATACTGGGAAGGCACTAGCCACAAGTTCTTCAATGTTATCGGCCTTGGCTCTGAACTGTAATTAGTGGTGATCACAATAGATCAGCTTGCACTTGACAACTAACATAGTATTATCTCAAAAATTGCGTTATATTATATTTTGTCTCAAAATCGCGTTATATTAATAATTTATCTCCAAAATACCGCTATATTGATGTGTCATTCAAATACGATTTATTTTCAAAATGACAGGACAACACTGCCGCTTTGAAACTAAATAGGTAATATTAATATAAATTACAGCCATTTTGAGATAATAATAGGAGTTA